TACAAGAGAATGAACGTCTACAGCCCTGAGGCATTGATTTGAAGCCATGGTTTTACCTCTCTCCTATGCATCTAGGGTGTTATTAGTATGAACTAAACTTGGGACAATGACTCAAGTCATTTTGTTTTCTATGGCAGAGATGAGTAATCACAGCTGAGAAAAGCAGAGAAGTATGAATGAAAAACAGATCCTAAACCTGTTTTACTTTGTTTTATTTTTGGTGGTAGTTTATTTTTGAAGACACTCAAACCACCTGTATTGGTGGCTGTTGTTATGGGATATAAATATACTGAAAATCAGTAAGATAATTTGGCCTCTACAGTTTGTTTGGTTTTTGACTAAACATTTGCATTGAAAGAATTGTATGTATAATTGTCTCCTTAAAAGATACAACAATCACCTCATTGCTTTCCTTAGAGATCTACTTGAGGCTTAAATGAGACTGAAATTGTCTGGATACCACTAGAACATATACTTAGAAGCAGAAAGGTAAGCACATTCTATTCTCAAAAACAACATATTGATTTAGTTACTTCACATTGAGGCTTTGGCCACTTCACCATTTTTTTTTATTGCCTACCACCAATAAATATACTTATGAAATATACATGAAAATGCTGACAATGTCTTACAGGATTGCCCTTTTGAATCATTTGTGATTTGCTCTGGACTGTTGTTCTGACCCTGCCCAGTATCCTAGGCTTTTTGTTCATGATTTCTGACCTACTTCACCTTCCATCATTAACTGGAATAGATGTCATTCATTCAGAATTTTAGTATTCCCTAATACTAAAGCCACTCTTCATGCATTATTGCCAAAATCATCAGGTGATAGTTCAATGGGCAATTTTATAATAAAAAGATCAAATTCATGTGGCCACATGATCATGAGTCAATCTGATATGTGCTCATTGATATGAGTCAATGGGAAAGACAAAGTACCACTTCTGTCTGGTTCTATTAATTTAAACAATAATTGAGGCTCTAACTAGTATACAGAAAATAGAGGAAAACACCATGAAACAGCAATTAACCAAATCCATTTCTAAAGGAAAAAAAAAGGAAAAAACAACTGGTTATTCAAATTAAAAGTGGAGGAGAAGAGCTCTTACAGAATAAAAGGAAATTAAGAAAAATAATTCCCCAAAGTAATCATGGTCTAAGTGCCATAGAGTTCTGTCCTAAGTGGAACTTTTGGACACTGGAGTAGCCACAAAACTGTCCATCTAGGCACAGAATTGTTTCTTCCCCAGGAAATAGGTCAAATCTAGTTCTATTTAGAATTATGCTTCCTCTCCTGTCATGGTCTCTCTTAACTAAAACCCTTTCATTACATTATGACTTAATCTTGGTTACTAAAACAGCTTCTTGTGACTAATAAAGTGAGAATTGACAACAGCCTCTGTAGATGTTTGACTCTTGAAGAAAATGTAGAACTGGTCCAGGGTCCAGTAACAGAGTTCCAAAGAAAACTTAAAAATGAGAATAATATTTTCAAAACTTGGCAACCAATTAGGGCTTTGGAGATTTTAACACACTACATTCACACCCACACCATAATTCGATCCAGCTCCCACATCCCAAAATCCATCACTGGGTTGTTATCTGAAACTAGACTTATCACTTAACCTCATGCCTGAAAGCCTACATAATAGAGAAAAGTAATTAGTCCTTGAATCTTGCATAGCACCATCTTGTCTTACTGCATATGGATTTGATCATTCCCTACAAACCCAAGAAACTTGAAATACCAGTGGCATTTCTTACAAATTATACTCTGAACATTGCTGTATTCAGCCCACAATTTGTGCTAAGTTGTTTGAGACAGAAATATATCAGCAAAGACTCTAATGCATAGCTTAAAATGATTGATTCAAGACTAAATCAGCAACGCTAATTTCTTGCAATGCTAGTTACATATGGTTGCATTAATATTCCCTTTTCAGAAATCCAGCTGAGAATCATTATTTAATGAAAGGCTTACAAATTGCATCCTATTTAATGGCTTTCATTGCAGATTCTTTTGTAAAAATGCAGAAAACATGTAAGTGACCATGTAAATTCTATGGTGCATTTGCAATAAGCTGGAGAATTTTGTTTATATATACATGAAATATATATAAATATGGGCATATATATGCAATGCACATATAGGTATATATTACAGATAACATATATACCTATGTATAATTTCCACATAATATATTCCAAATATATATGATATAGTATATATTTGTAATACTTATATGTGTTATATATAATATTATTAATATCAAGAGCTCATTCTAGTTGGTAATTTCTAAATTCACAAATTCATGGAATACATTGTAAGAGATAGATTAGAATGGAAATTTTCATATCTAATCACCCTAGGTTGGAATATTGGCTACTCCATTAACTAACTCTGTATCCTTAACCTATTTTATTCCAATTTTACTAGTCTTTAGTTACTCATCTTTAAAATGAAAATAATAATAATGTCTAATCTCCAGAATACTGTTATAAAGATGAAAGAAAAAAATCAAGGAAAGTATTTAACACAGTACCTCACACAGAGCAAGTGCTTAACAAACATTAGCGCTTTTTTTTTGATGTAAAAATAACAAAAGGAAGAATCGTAGTTTGTTACAGAGTAAACTGCCATATTTATGAATCTTTTTAGTCACTGAAAAGTTGAACCTCTGAAGACACAGAAGCCAAAGATCTGTGGGTAATCTGGAGACAGTTCATAAAGGGGAAAAGTTGGCAAAGGCATTCATATTTAAGCAATAATATTTTGGAGTTTTTCTTTAAAGCCAAAAAGTTACTTTATTCAAAATTTTTTCTTATCATGATACATGATTCTTACATGTATTATGTTGCTACTTTGTTAACTAGCCTTTGTTAACCAAATAGCAAGTTTTTCAAGTAGAAAATTGTGTTATAATAACATTGTTTTTAAATTTCCTGCACTTCAGAGATTAACAGAAATAAAAAGTATTATTTAAAGCTTTATCCGTCTGAGGCTGTGAATTTGGCTTTTCTCTCATCAAAAACAAACACTATGAGTTTTATTCAAGCAGAATCATGAACTTAAGTACTTGAGGCAAACATTTTCAAGTTAGCTACAGAATAGTTGAAAACCGCAGTAATAAACCCTCTCTCTAGACAAGATGTCAGGAGGGAAGGCCCTATGTACTCGGTTAAGAAAGTCATTGCCAATTTCCTAGTGTCCAAATGGAACCATTTAGCCAGAGAAATTCTATCAAGTAGAATCTTTATTAGTACAAAATTGTGACTATCTTAACACCTGGCCACTTCATTGATTATTTTTCATTCAATTAAAGCATTTTTTTTCTTAATGGGGAATGAGAGTTAACTGATTTTTATTTCATTAATTAATTTTATTTTTCTTAAATATTCTTAATATACTCACTTTTAAAATCATTTCAGATCAATAACCATCACAGTTTTGTCTATTTTATGAAACACTTGCCCTTATGTTGTGAGTTGATGATAGATTTTCTTTCTTTAAAAGGGAAAAAAAAAAAAGGCTTACAGGATTCTTAATTAGCAGTAAGAAAGATGTCTCACAGAAACAACGTATGGTTTCTAACTCCCACTCAGTGGACATGAAATGAGCTACGTCCATAGGAAACTTCAAGCAATTGAAAGAAGTCATGCTCTCTCCATTTAAATCTGCAAATCAGTGTCCATTTTTGCTGTCAGAAATGTGAAGAATATTCACATTTTCCCTGTGCTTTATCAATAGCTACTTCCATATTTCTAAACTATCTGTCACTATAGTGCCTAGGTAATTAGACAGAGGTGCTCAGGCACTGTATTATTTGAACATCAATGCCTTGGAGTATAGGCAGCCATAAAATTTGTCATTGTTTTGATGGACTTCTTACTACTTAAATAACTAAAAGGAAAAATTACAATTTTCTCTAAATTTATTGTAGTTACTTTCACAAATAATGTTTGACCATAGTCGTCATACTGAACATTGGCTATGTGTCAAATAAATCCTTGGAGATAATTTTAGCTGAACTGATAGTCTTAGTTAACTTCCCAGAGACAAGTATGAGAATTCTTTTATTTTCTTTGAGTATTTTGTTTAACACTGGAAATCACTTGCAAGTACACTTATTCTATTTGTTCTGTTTTCATGGTTTATCTAAGATATATATCAAGAAAAAAAAGAATCATAAACCATCGATAGGCTTGAGGTCTTTACATAGCCACCATATAAGGAGATGTGTATGAAAATTTGGGGATATCTAAGCCAGGGCAGGGTATGGAAATTAAGAATTTGTGTCCCTGGATGTCATCATGACCATCAGTTGACAGGAAATACCGGATCCCTGGCTAAAAGAAGGCTAGCTAAGGCAAACTGTTCTATTTCTAATTTCTTAAGCTATTGCCAATGAAGTTTCCTCCAGATCAGGGACCTACATACCTTTCCTTAAAGGGTCAATTAGTAAATATTTAGCAAAGTTTTTCAACTTTGTTTTTTTCACTTATGGTCACTGTCATCATTATTTATTTGTCTGTAAGATGAAAGTGGTCATAGACCACTTTGAGCTTGACTATGTATGAGCTTGACTATGGTTCAATATAACTATTTATAAAATCATTTGATGACATGAATTCTTAATTTCCCAATCCTGCCCTGGCTTAGATATCCCCAAATTTTCATACACATTTCCTTATATGGTGGCTGTGTAAGTGCCACAGAATTCCAAGCCCCAAACATAAGCCAGAGGTAGGATAGGAGCAACCTAGGAAATAACATTTATCCTATATTTAAGATGTCCTTTAAAAAGGCTAACCCTACCTTATCTGTGTCATAAATACTCCAGGGAAGGAACTAATCTCAATTCTCTACTTGCTACTATAAAGAACTAAGATGTTTAGAGCTTTGTTTTTTAAAGATAGTAAGATTCCTAAATAGTAAGAACTGTAAGCAGGATGCATTCTAAATGCATACAAAAGAATATTTCAAGACATACACTTACCTTTTCAATTCAGAAAATAATAAATTATGAAAATAAAGGAAATTGTTGTTAACCCAACAAAGGCCAGATTTTAAGTGTCTCTCTTATGTGGAATTATTGTGTCTTAAGAGAGCCACCATGTCCATAATATCTGAATTTAATACGCCAGTTCTCTCTTTTTCTTGGTTCTTCTGTTTAAGGCAACATATTGAATCTCTTGGGAGAAACTCATCCTGAATCTGCTCAATTGAAAACATGAGGGTGCACATTCTAAGCTACATATGCTCAGCTCTGAGTTTCCAAGGAAACAAGAGATTGTTCATCTATCTGCAAAAATGAACTGACGAATCACTTTCAGCCTCTTACAAACCTTGATTCTGAATCAAATTCCAGTGTGGAGTCTAAAAAATGTCAGAGTCTTGTCATTTCTGCCTAGCGAACCCCCAATGCTGAGGAGGCTGGCAGTTGGACATGCATTAGTTATAGTTATGCACCTTTATTTTTTTTTACCTCTGCCTGTTAGTAAAATGCTGTCGGTGAGAGCCAGCTCCACATAGCACTCATATAAGAATGGCCTGCAATTGTTACTCTCAGTAAAGGCACACAGAACCACTTGGATTTGGAAAGCCCCAGCCAAGCCATATGGGAGGGAGACCTGTGGTTCGAGCCCTCAATGTGGTTCTCAGTTCTTAGGGTCACATACTGAGCAAAGCAAAGAGCAATGGGACAATCTGCATTGTCCTAACCTGTATTGGCATTCAAACATTTCATTATCTATAGCCAAACAATATGTCAAACACTTTAAATAGGTTCAACAGAAATGAGGCATTCTTCAAATTCTTGAATGTGGGTGGGACTCCTTGACTAGTTCTTTTACATTTACAAACCAAAGTCCTTTAGATGTGTTAGATCACTTAATAGTCATAACAAATATTTTAGGTAGACATGTTATTGGGTTCATTTTCTAATAATGGAGTCACAGAGAAATGAAGTAATGTCCCTAAAAGTTACATTGTCCATAAGTGACAAAACTGGGATTTAAAATGAACTGTGTCACCTCAAACTCATAATCTTTGCACTTTATTATATATTCTGTATAAGACTGGTTGTTATGTTTTCCTCTATGTTTCAAATGAGTGTGCCCATTCACTTGTTCATTCATTTATGTATTTAACAAATATGTATCAAGCACTTATTCTAGGCTCTGTGGATATCGTAGCAAACAAAACACACAAAGTCTCTCTGGGTGCTTACATTTTGTAGAAGAATCAAGAAAGTAAACAAGTAAACAAATATGTACAATGTAGAGACTGTGTGTTCATTGACTTGATGCCACTGTGACCAAACTAAGAGCAGGTTAGAGGAGGAAAAGTTTATTTTGGGCTCATGGTATCAGAGGTTCAATCCATGTTCACATCAGCTGACTCCTTTACTCTGGACCCATGGTGAGATAGATTATCATGGCGGAAGGGTATGGTGGAGGAGCTTTGCACTGCTCGCAGCAGCCAGAAAGCAGAGTATTTGAGCACAAAGAGCCAGGGACAAAATATATAATGCACAAGGCACACACCCAGTGACTCACTTCCTCCACCCATGCCCCACCTCCCTATAATTATCACCTAATAAATCCATTCAAATTATTAATCCACCAAATGGGTTATATACTGATAAGGTTATGGTTCTCGTAATCTAATAATCTTATCTCTTGCATTAACACAGGAGCTTTTGGAGGTCACCCCATATCCAACCATAACAGACTGTAGTATAATGCCAACAGAAGAAATCAATGTTTTAGTGTGAGAAGATTAAAAGATTTGAATGGACCCTTAAAGATATGATACAGGACAAGATAAAACAGAGGTAGGTAGAGACTGTATGATGCTGGACCCTAGAGGTCTGAATTTCATTTGAAGTGATAAGTTATTAAAGAGTCTAACTGTATTTGTGATAGAACTCTCTTGTTCCTATTGTAAAGAAACTGCATGGGTATGAAATCTACCCATGTATCAGAGATAGAAAAATTTCCCTAACTTCCAGCCTCAATTATGATTCTCTGGAATGATGTTAATTATATATATGGAATGCAATTCAATGTTCTTAAAAGACTAAAATCCACTCTTTTATTATGTATTGGCTTTTTGATTTGTGGTTAAGGAGAATGTACAATGGAGTGAAAAAGCAGCCTAATATGTGGGTGTATAATCGCACAAAAAGTCAAGTATGGGGGGAAGAACCTATTGAACAGGCACCAGTCTAATTACCCCTGAGTGACCAAGGAGGACACTTCAATCCTATCATCATTTGGACCTACCCCAAGGAACCCTAACCACCTCTCAAGAAAACACCTAGTTCACAGACTCAGTGAGGAAGTCTTCTACATCCTTGTCTGGAACAGTACCTTGTTTAGCATTGGGTTTCCATAGAATTTGTGAAGAAAAGAAGGAATGAAGGTGAGGGGGAGAAAGAGGGAGAATAAAAATAAGGAGGGAAAATTAAAATTGGGAGGGGAGAAAAAAGGAAAAGAATAAAGGTCAGAAGGAAAAGATTCTCTGACATCTTTTCTTGGTTTGTATCTCCTTGGCTGTACAGTTATGCTCAGTATTCCCCAACCCATCATCCTGGGATTATACACACACACACACACACACACACACACACACACACACACACATATCCAATAAGACACTTCAAAAAGATTAATATTTTCATTTTAACATTTCTGAAAGTATTTCAATGAAATTGCTTTCAAATGGTTTATTTTATATTAGATCATTGAGAGATAGATTAATGTCATAAACGGAGGTACTAGCAAGAGATATTTTTGTCTCTTGTGTGCACATACTGTATATTTCATATCCTCTGAAAACTTAAAGTCACTAATTTAAGTCAAATTAGGAAAAGGGCAGTATAATAATTGCTATATTACCAGTTCCTTCTTGATAACAAATGAAGCTTTTTTCCCCTTCACCAATATATAATAGTGTGCTTTTTCTTTGGCAAAGATATAATAGCACTGCTCTACAGGAACAAAAATATTTTTACTGGCTATGTTATTACTGAGAAATGCATTGGGAAAATGTAAAAATATTTCACCTTTATGTTGGAGAAAATAAACACAGTGGATTAAATAAAATTTTCACAGCTCTTGACACGTGCCATATGTAATGTTTGGTAAACGTCAAAGAAGAGACTTCAGCTTCTTCTGAGAATCAGAGACTGGAACTGGAGAGGACTTTGGGTAGGGACTGGCCCACCAACTCACAGTGCCACAGCAATTTGGGCAAAGGTGATGTAAAGAAGTTTAAAGGCAATCCAAAGGTCACACCATTACTTGAAGAACCAGGACCAGATCCAGAAGTTCCAGAACCAGCCTATGATGGTGCCATTACAGATTGCTGCTTCCGATGCTTTGTTGCACACAATTGGGACTCAGGATTGGTGAGGAGGAGCTGGGAGGGCTCTGAAATCAGGCCTACTAGTATGCAAGTCTCAACCCGCCTGGACACAAACTACCTCTATGAGCCTAGGCAGTTTAACCTATTTTAGCCTGAGATTTTTTTTTTCCTATAAAAAGGAACTTTAATAGTGCCAACCTCAAATATTAAATGATTAAATGAAGTAGTTATTTTTAAATACTGGCACATAGCAAGTAGTAAATAAATGTAATTTATTGTTGCTATTATTAGTAGTAACATTATTATTACTATTATGACTACTACTATTATTATTATTATTCAAACAATCATGCAATGCATAAAACCCTTCATTTTGCTCATAATTCTCAAATACACCTGTTTGGTAAAATGAGAATTCCAAGTCCTCATATACAGAGATAAAACTCAGGTCAGAAATCTTCTAACTGTATGATTCTAATGAACTGAATATTAAGTATGTTTCTTGGAAATTTTGCAAATTCTAATAAACTTTAAATATATGTTACAATGGCAAAATACCATAGAGGGAGAGCAAGAAGTAACCCCTGTCATCAGAGACTGGGGAGTCTAGTGGGGATGAAAGACATGAACATACATTTTATAAAAGACAGGACATAGTACCTATATTGGTTACAAAGGGGGATGTGGGAACAGAGCAGGAGGAAGGAATGCTTTCCCTTGAGGAAAGCAAGAGAGGCTGTAAGAAGGAGGCAATATTTGATCTGAGTCTTGAAAGGATGTGGAAATGATGTAGGCAAGACTCCAGCTGCAGGTCCTCTGTGTTTCAGGCAGCTCCAAGTTACAGGTTCCAGGATGCCATAAAATCTTGTGCTCCTCAGAAAGAGAGGGGACTGGCAAATGCTGAGGAGCACCATGTGACTTAGTCACAGTGTGCCTGGGAGGTGGGAAGATCGGGGAGGTGAATTAAAGATGAGGCAGGAAACTTGGGTCTGGCCCAGGAGACTATCAATGTGAGATATGCCCACTCTAGAGCCAGACCACAAAAGGCCCAGCACTGCCTTTTCTGAGCCATACAGCACTGACAAATTATTTATCCTCTCTGTCCCTCAGTTTCTTCATTTACACCACAGCAATAAAAATCGGGGCAGTAGTTGCAAGAATCAAATAAGTTGCTACTGGTAAAGCCCTTAGACCAGGGCTAGGATACAGAGTCCAGTCATTGCTAGCTATTGTCATCATGCTTGATATCATCCTCATCAACCCTTAGGGGTATTTTGATACCATATTAATTAGCAAAGGAAGATCTACAAAAGAAGCAGTTATCTAAGGATGTGCCATCTAGACTATAAAAATTACTTGCCCTCAAATTACAAAGGTAAAGTCTTTTTATGTACTTTAGTAATTTGATGTCAAAATGTCTATGACTTTTAGTTATCACCAGAAATATGACAAATTTAGGTTACAGGAAAAAAAAAAGACATCAATCTGTTTGGTTCTTTAAAGATCTATCTATTAAAGTCCAGTAAAAATTTTGTTGGCACTTTTTGTTTTGTTCTGTTTTTCAATTTCATGAAGAATAGATAAATGAATGCATTCTGGAGGTAAAAATAGAATCATACTACACATTTATGAGGACGAATATATTTTAAGCTTTTTAACACACATATTTTAAATTGTTTTCACTGAATTATTTAAATATCTTTACATATAGCAAATTGGATCAATCTCATTCATTATTATCTGCCACATAATATACCAAATTTGACTCTTCTTTACTTTACTCCGTTAATTATTCTATTCATGGATCTTTTGCTTATTTCCCATTTCTCACATTTATAAATGAGGATACAATGGATTGTTCTAGATATGTTTTTGTACACA